TGAGTTATTTGGATGTTGTTGACTATTGCATGAATTTGTGTAATTGAAATTGTACATCCTGGAATTTCCTAGGTCCAAGATTTTGCAAGCCGAGTACAAGAGCAAGCAAGTCGGATAAACATGACCATAGGCAAGTCGGAGCCGGTCAGGGTAAAGTAGCACTACAAAACCATAGCATGTCAGGTCCGATCTCAGAGTAACTGCGACCAAGGAATAAATTGGTTTGATCTCTTGAAAAGTACTAGAAAGCAACATGAGAGGTCACATAGTATGGTTACTAAACGCCTCAATGATTGCATAGGGGTTATTAAAAATAATTGGAGGAACGTTACTTGATAGTTATGGAGAACGTCAGGCATTATTGAAGGTGGCTTTAACATAGGATATGAAAAGGCATCCTTATATGGATCATTGATTATGGAGTGAGTATAAAAGGAGACTTCCTAAACGAGGAAGAAAACAACAAATAATACCTCCTAACTAATAGGACGATTATGGTATCACCTGACTAGTTTCAGGGATATTTCTCTAAAATATTGTTTAGCAAGAAAAGAAATTGATCTGACCTGATCAGAAGGGGATCACGGGTCGGCCACACTCTATTGGACTGCTACGTGCTCACCGATGCTGAGGGGAAAGAAGGGGGGTGTACCTGCAAGGCACTCCGATGCCAAAGTGAGAAATTGGGCAGAGTGACAGCAAATACAGAAAGTGGTAGAAGAATGGAATACCTGGCCCTCTTGAGGAATAGGGTATTTATAGAGAGACCCCAGCGTTGGGCCAACGGTCATTTGAGATGGGCTGGATGACCATGCCCAACCCTAATGACTGCTAGGGCTTACGTGGCGTAGTGAAGACCAGGACGTGGTCTTCGCCCTAGTCCAACTGCTCCTAGATCTCCAAAAAGTGGGTTTGACCTGCTCTTTCGGAGGTGGGAAGTTGGCTGATGACGTGTCCCCGCGGAGGGGTGCACGTGGAGAACGTGCGCCGGGCACGTTGTTCTCCCCGCGGAGGGGAGCTCGCTAGGTCGGGGAGGAACCAAGGCCGCGCTTTGATGCGCCGAGGTGTGTCCTGTTCGGATGATGAGAGGGGACGACGTGATGTTGTTGGACGCGCTGCTTGTGTCCGGTGGCGCGCTCTACTCGTCCTGCGGGACGCGCGTGCCCGGCATGCCCGATTCGCTTATTGGGTCGTACGTGGTATTGGGCCTACCGAGGTCAGACCCAGACCGGAACAGAAATGTATGGAGGTTGATGTTTTGCCTTTAGGCTACCATTGAATTCTTTTGAACCATTATATATTTTTAGCGTATTCTCACCCTTTTGTTTTGTTGTGACACTTATGCTTCTTGTTAAGGTACAGACAAGTAGGTAGATGAGTAGTTGCTTTAGAGCTGAATGATGGCGTTGAGGCTATTTTTCTTTTTCAGTTTTTATGCGTCTTTAAATTATTTTTGCTCTGATCTGTAACACTTGGTAGACGAACGCTATGTTTGGTCTTATTTTGATTTTAGGCCAACCAAGCATGCGCCAACTTGATATTTCTTGCTATTTTCTTGCATCCAAAAGTCCAATGATGAACACTTGAATACCAAATTAAGGAATCTTAATTTTCCTTTGAATAATCTTGATGATTGCTTGAAAAATTAGATGAAGATGGCATGGAAATAAACACATGAACCATACTTGAATTAATTTTGAAATAATGCACCAAACTTGAACTTTTCTTAATCAAATGACATAGAATGAAGCTTGACATGAATGGTACCTAATATTATAGGTCATGCCTTGAAGTGAAAACTCTTATGGACCACGTGTTAACCAAACTTTGACTTTGAGAATATAATCCAAACCTTAATTTAGAAACCAAGCTTGATCCTTTTATTGTAAGTCTCTACCTTGTACAATAAGAAAGGTAAACAACACATATTTTTTGTATTTTGAATAAAGGTTAGCAAAATTAGAATGTAAACAAGAAATAGAGGCAAAAATAAACACAAAGGATGCTTGGTGATCTCCCATAAAGGCAAACCCAAAGAAGTGAAAGTTAGAAGGATACCATGCTTGTGATCTTGGTTGAGATGCAAATGTTATGATAGGTGGAATCTTAGAGGTAAAACTTAGGGTATAACACAAGGTCACTATCAAGAATAAGTATCCTTTTTTGAGAATTGATGATCCGATGGACCAATTGATTGGTGCTTGCGTGTTTAGAAAGGTTGATTTGCGTTCAGGCTATCAACACATTTGAGCAAAGTCAGACGATATTCTGAAGACTGCGTTCAGAATAAAATATGGTCGCTATGAGTATTTAGTTGATGCCATTTGGCGTGTCAAATGCATATGAAGTATTCATGGAGTACATAAATAGAATATTTCATTCGTACTTAGACCAGTTTGTGGTTGTGTGAATGTTTATGCGACATGTGAATATATGATGTGAATTGTAAGTATAATTATGTGAATTATTGTATATACTCACTAATGATTGTTGAGATGCGTAGTTAGGAGTGAGAACTATTGTCGATGCGTTAAGAATCGTGATTATTTACAGTTAGATATTTGGCTGTAATCATTGTTGTGTTGTTGTCGTTGCTATTCCATGAATCATATGTCGTCGTTGTTGTAAAAGAGGCAGTTGTTAGTTCAGAAGTTGGGACTAGTGACTTGTCCCAAACCCAGATGTCAGGGCTTTGAGTTCAGATGTTGGGACCCCGTTTGTATGAAAAACCTTTTGTTGAGTTGATATCACATGCATGAGTTAAGTCATTGTTGCATTGCATTACATAAAGGTGGTGCATATGAGTTATTTAGGTGTTGTTGACTATTGCATGAATTTGTGTAATTCAAATTGTACATCCTGGATTTCCCTAGGTCCGAGCTTTTGCAAGCCGAGTACAAGAGCAAATAATTCGGATAAACATGATCATAGGTAAGTCATAGCCGGTTAGGGTAAAGTAGTACTACAAAACCATAACATGTCAGGTCCGGTCTCAGAGTAACTACGACCAAGGAATAAATTGGTTTGATCTCTCAAAAAATACTAGAAAGCAACAATAGTCACGTAGAATGGCTACTAAACGCCTCAATGATTTGCATAGGGGTTACAAAAAAATAATTGGAGGAACGTTACTTGATAGTTATGGAGGACGTCAGGCGTTATTGAATGTGGCTTTACCATATGATATGAAGAGACATCCTTAAAGGGATCATGAGTGAGTATAAAAGGAGACTTCCCAAACGAGGAAGAAAACAACAAATAATACCTCATAACTAATAGGACGATTGTGGTATCACCTAGCTAGTTTCAGGGATATTTCTCCAAAATATTGTTTAGCAAGAAAAGAAATGTATGGAAGTTGATGTTTTGCCTTTAGGCTACCCTTGCATTCTTTTGCGCCATTATATATTTTGAGCGCATTCTCGCCCCTTTATTTTGTTGTGACACTTATGCTCCTTATTAGGGTACAAACAAGCAAGTAAATGAGTAGCTGCTTTAGAGCTAAATGATGGCGTTGAGACTATTTTTCTTTTTCAGTTTTTATGTGTCTTTAGATTATTTTTGCTCTGATCTGTAACGTTTGGCAGGAGAACCCTACGTTTGGTCTTATTATGAGTTATTGTTGCTAAATATTATGTTATAACTCATGTTTCAAGTTGCTTTCATGTTGAAGGCCTATTGCCCTGATTTGAGTTTAATTTTAAATACAAGTTATTTTAAACTTATTTGAATGAGTAGTTGTTTTAATGAATGATTTTACTGCTATGAGCTTAAGAGAAGGCGAGCATGTGATGACATTTGTTTTAAATTGTTTATGATTGTTTGTGTGACATCTTAAGTAAAATAGTTGTTTATAATTGTTTTATTCCTTACTACTTCGAGCAGGGTTTTAGGGTGTTACACGCTTCAAGACCTAGATTGGATTGCATGAGCTGAAAATCGAAAAACACTTCGCGCATGATGGTAGCGGTAGGTGCCTTTGGTATGGTAGACGACCCCTAAGTGAAACTCTGGGGCAATCATTACGAGTGTCAAAAATTGAGGAGTTTTGTAGATCACCCTTGGTTGCGCAAAGTTTGGCTGAAGAACAGAAGGAATAAGTGTTAAAGTATGGTAATATATCCTTAGTGGAAGTGGAAGACGGTTTCCCGATGCAACCGTTTGTCTTTGGATTACAAAACGAGTGACTTTCGATGGTGTAGTTGCTTAATGATTATGATGAGAGGAATTCAATTGCAAATTTGATAAGATTGACTTGGAAATGTAAATCTACACTTCGATTGAATTGAATATAAGATCAACAGGTCAGAGTATAATAGTAATCTAATATCGATATTTCCACAAATGACATTAATGTTCTTTTCGAGAACAGAACAATGATCAGAGAGGTTAAATTGATTGTTGTGTTGTAGCGGAACTAAATTCGGATACATTTGAATGAAACTGATATGCAAGAATAACACTCTAATATTTAAACCAATGAAAAAATGAATAATTTTACATGGAGAGTGAAAATCGTACTTAAAGCGTGTTAATATGAGAATTTGTTTGAAACTGAAATATGAAAAAATTGAGAAATGAAAATTTGTCCTATGATAAATCTGACGACGATGTAGAATATATTTCCAGATGGCGTAGTGTGAAAAGACTTGAAATTACATTTGTCCATTTTCATCCCACTTTGCTTTCTCCATGTATTAAACTCTCGCCGAAACAGAACAATTATGAAACATTTTTACAATAAAAATAAACTACATGTTTATAAAAAATATAAAAAAGTACCGTTAGAACTTAGAAGCATATAACTTCAAGTTAATTATTACACACAAAAATAAAGGAAAAGGCACTTGAACATCAAGGCAAGGTCCACAACAAGACTATTGTTGTACACAACATCATAGTTGCACTTTTCATCACAGCTTCCACTTCAATTCCCATTCTTTATAGAACCTTCCTCAACACAACAACACACACTTCACAACTCCACACTCTTTTCTTCAATGGAAAATTTCCCTCTCTTTCTAATATGCTTTTTCACACTCCTCACATTCCCAAAACCCACACGTGCCACCCTCCCCGGCACGTGGGAGCTTCTAGTTTCAAACGCAGGCATAGCCTCAATGCACACAGCAGTAACACGCTTCAACACAGTCATCCTCCTCGACCGAACCAACGCCGGTCCATCACGTAAACTCCTCCCAAAAAACCGCTGCCGGTTCGACAAAACCGACGCCGTTATGAAACGCGATTGTTACGCCCACTCTATTCTCTTCGACCCCAAAACAAACCAACTCCGTCCCTTAAAAATTTTAACCGACACGTGGTGCTCTTCCGGCCAGTTCCTCCCGAACGGAACACTCTTACAAACCGGCGGCGACTTAGACGGGTTTAAAAAGATCCGAAAGTTTAACCCGTGTGATCTAAACGGGTCTTGCGATTGGGAAGAGCTAAACGACGTCGAATTGAGTGAAGGTCGTTGGTATGCGACGAATCAAATTCTTCCAGATGGTTCTATTATCATAATCGGTGGAAGAGGTTCAAACACTGTTGAATTTTATCCTAAACGCGAAAACGCTGTCGTTTCTTTTCCTTTTCTCTCTGAAACTGAAGATACACAAATGGATAATCTATATCCTTACGTTCATCTTCTCCCTAACGGTAAACTGTTCGTGTTTGCGAATACGAAATCGGTTATGTACGATTTCGCTGAGAATCGTGTTATTAAGGTTTACCCGGAGTTAGACGGTGGTCCAAGGAATTATCCATCGGCGGGCTCCTCGGTAATGTTAGCTTTGGAAGGTGAATTTTCCGAGGCGGTTGTTGTTGTTTGCGGCGGTGCTCAATACGGTGCGTTTCTAGAACGGAATGTAGATACGCCGGCGCATGGAAGCTGCGGGCGGATAATGGCGACGGGAGAAAACCCGGTTTGGGAAATGGAGGATATGCCGTTTCAGAGAATAATGGGTGATATGGTAATTTTACCAAACGGTGACGTTTTGATTATAAATGGTGCTATGAAAGGGACGCAAGGTTTTGAATTGGGGTCTGATCCGTGTTTGAACCCGGTTTTATATCGACCCGATGAACCAGCCGGTTTACGGTTCATGGTTTTGAATCCGGGTACTGTGGCAAGAATGTATCATTCAACTGCTAATTTGTTACCGGATGGACGGGTTTTACTTGCGGGTAGTAACCCGCACGTGTTTTACCGGTTCGATGTCGAGTTTCCGACAGAGTTAAAACTCGAAGCGTTTTCGCCTGAGTATTTGGATTCGGATAAAACAAATATCCGACCCGAGATAGTAGAAGTACCCGAAACGGTGTCCTATGGTTCTAGTTTTGATGTTGTTGTGAGTGTTGCTTTACCTGTTGTGGGAATAATTGAAGTGAATTTGGGTAGTGCTCCTTTTGCGACGCATTCTTTTTCTCAGGGTCAACGGTTGGTCAAACTTGGCGTTGGTTCTGCTGTGCCGGACGGTGGTGATGGGAAGTGGAGGATACGGTGTACGGCGCCGCCGAGTGGGATGGTTGCGCCGCCTGGGTATTATATGGTGTTTGCTGTTAATCAAGGTGTTCCAAGCGTGGCACGTTGGATACACGTGTCGTAGTTTGGATAAATTTATGTTATTTTTTTATGTAAGAAAAATGTTGTATTTAAATATTTTGAGATTATGTAGTTATTGTAAAAAACAAACACATGTGAAGGTGTCGCCGAAATCCTAATGGGTTTGATTATTGGTGATAAGTGATGATTGGTTTATATATAATGGTAATTAAAAAAATAGCACTAATATGAAATTATGTGTAATTATGTGGAGGGTATGGTGTCGGTTACTAGTGTTGTTAATAATGTAATCTCTACTTAAAGGAAGAGACATGCAATTCATTGGATGGGGACTCTAGTAATTTTGGTCCCACCCAACTATGAAAGTATGAGAGTTAATTAATTTTGGTTATTGCTACGAGCAATTATACAATTATGGTTGGACTAGAACTAGAGGGGAATGGGAGGGGCAAAGAATGGTTTGTGAAGTGATAGCTACAAGTGTGATGTGTGTGCCCTCCACTCAAATACGGTTTTTTTTATAGACAACACGTTTATTTTATGCTAACTAATTCTTTTAATGTCAAAGCATTAATACATTTCAATTAAATTTAGTAGGACTTCTAATGAATTATGAATTACGTGAGTGGTGATCATTTGAAATTCAACTAGTATTAGGTAGTTTGTTCAGAAGAGTGTTAAAACATATCTCACTAGTAATGAACTTATATTTGAATATGTTGTGAAATCTATTGAGTCATAAAGCAACTCATTTAATTTTATTTTAATTTAAAATAATAATTTAAATGATTTAAATTAATATTAATGTTCTATATTGAAATCAGAAATAAAGTGAAAATCATATACAAATTTGAGTTTCTGGTGGAACAGAGGATATGTAAGGTTCCCATTTAAATGTTTAAATCAGTATGTGAGGAAGAAAAATAAATTACAATTGAATTTAAAAATTGAATACATGAATTGACGCTCTCTCTTTGTATATAGTAGAGAGAAATTCACAAACTTGTTATTTGTTAGGTGTGATTTACGGAGAGTCGTTGGATGTACATGAAGTTTGGATCCTATATATTCATTAGTCTGGTAGTTCTCGTGCGCTAATAAGCATTTAGAAGGATTACAACTCCTTTAGAGTGGTCGGCCCCCAAAAAATTGCCTAAGAGTCATTGCTTATGTGTAGCAAGGCAATGGTTTTTCGTATTAGCACCGGGTCTCTCTCTCTCTCTCTCTCTCTCTCTCTCTCTCTCTCTCTCTCTCTCTCTCTCTCTCTCTCTCTCTCTCTCTCTCTCTCTTCATCTTAGAAAGAGCAAAAGTGAATAATTTTAGTTTCTTAGGGATTCACGTCTTTACTCCTTCATACTTCAAACGTTTTTTCAGAGATACTCTCATTATGATCCTTAAGAACTTAAACAATCGAGTGTTGCGTGTGAGTGATTTGACATGTTTGATAGGGTCTTCTTTCTTTTACTTGTTAGCCTACGATTCTTGAAAAGCCAATTTCAAATTGTCTTTGAGTTGTCTTTCTTAGTTTACAATTATCCACATTCCTTCTGATATTTTGCTTTCATGTATCTAGAAAAGTTAGTACATCATGGATAAAAAAATAAAGAAGAGTGCTCAAAAATCTTAAAAGAATGTTTAATCTCCGTGGGTGGACTCTGTTTATTCTTCAACCATTTCTGTTTTTACCAAAGAGGGCAATCTTGATGGAGTTTTTCTTTCATCTCCTTAGATGTCATCGTGGCCTTGAAATAGATGATTGGTTTCTCTAGTGGCGACCATTTGAGGTTTCAGGGATTTTTCTGAAAGCTTGCAATAATTTGAAGATCGGTTCTTTCTGGTTACCCATATCCGCCCAGAAGCCCATGCAATGATATGCGCTATTGGAGGTGGAATGAAGGGTAGACGTGTGCCGCAACTGCGAAAAACACCTGGCAGAAAAACAGAAGAGTCGTAACCGAATGTTATTTATCCCAACGCAAAGAAAGGAAGCGATAGAAGAAAACCTAAAAAAGGGAGAAGATAAGGTCATCGCAACTAAATCTTGGGTTCGGGAGTCGGTTATGCGAGAGGAAGGTATTAACACCCCCTCGCATTTGTTGTACTCAACGATATCAATGTTTGTTGTCTAATCAAAGGGTGTGTCATCTAAAGTCTACTGCTAAACGAAAACGAGAACGAAGAAAAAGAAAAAGAAAAAGAAAGAGACCCGATAGGACATCGCCACTCTATGCCTACATATTCCCTCGTACAATGGGAAAGTCATAGTCAACGTAGTTTGAAAAACTACGGGTGAAAGGGGGGAGGTGTGCTTGCCAAGACATCGTCGTCTCGTGCCTACGTATCCTCATCTAGAATGAGAAATCAGAGCAGCTGTGGTTCGGCTAACTATGAGTTGCTTGGTGTTTTTTATGAGCGACATTAAGCTCACATTCCAGCAATTAGAGTCGATGCTTGATTACGATAGAACGGAAAAATAACGTGCTTTTTCGAAAAAAGATTTGACAAACGATCCCAAAGGATGAAAATAATTTGAATTTGTTTGTGAGTTTTAGAGAAGTGAATTAATTGGGTTTGAGATTCACATTACACTAAAGTCTACGATATAGGAGCGAATGCGTCGCATGATCACCCTCATACGGGACATACGTTGAACACTCTAGAGAAACAAGGAGAGACCCTTCACTCATCATTTTCCATATACTTAAGGCTCATGGCGCACAATGTTTATCGTATTTATTAAGTGTTTTGAAATTGTTTTGAGATAAGAAGAAGAGAAATGCGCACAGAAGATCTAAGGGGAAACTTGGTCCTAACGTTGTCATGCAAATTGGCCCTAAGGCTGGGATGCGAAAGGAAATTCTATCATAATGTTAGCATGTAAAAGATGGACATAAATTTGAGGTTAAAAGGGATTAACTTAATGTTATCATGCATAGATTAAACTTCTAATGTTTATCCTACTTCAAGCTTAATAAAAAATTAAGTTGGTTCATGAGGCCTTAAGGGAGCATGCAAAAACAAACCAAAAACAAGAAAACGAGGCAAACACAGCAGCTACAACAACGTTTCCTGCATAAAACAACAATAAAATCCAGCACACAAGCAAAATAGTTTTTAACAACACATGTTTTTAGGCAGAAACATGTGTTAAAGGCTGCACAACAAGCAAAACAGCATGTAACAGCTACTATTCTGCACAACAGTCATGTACTCACTAAGGAAGCATGCTATGCATCAAGACAAATGCTCACGGATATGCAACAAACATGTACAAATGTGTAACAACACCACATAACATAATTAAGTATGCCTCAAAGATTGATCAAACAAAAAGGAACATGTTCAAGCATCATGCATCAAGCATAAACATGCATTCCAAAAGAGAAAATCAAAAACATGCTCTCACACACACATGAATTGCAAACGCAAGCAAACAACAAGTAATAACAAATGATTCACATGTGTACACAATTAAGCATCAAGCAATTAAACATGAACAATTTCTAAAAGTATCACATGTTTAAACATTCATCAAAAGCAACATGAATAATTCAACAATTAAACACTTGAAACGAACATGCAATTATGGAATCGGAAATGAATGTGAACATGCATCACACTTTCAGCAATATAAACATTAAGAACAAGCAAAACGATAGCACAAAAGAGTATGCAACCTGATCATCACATCAAGAATGCAAAACGAACCAATCATGTACATGTGAATCAAAAATCAAAATTCGCACGTTGAAGACACTTAAACATACTATCATGTGAGGTGAAACATGTCCAAAACAATTCACAAATATGCATAATACCAATCCATGAAGATTAAAAATGGAAAGGAATCAAGACATACTTGAAAATGCACAAAAATCACATTCGGCATCAGTGTTAATCGATTAACCATTTACAGTTCAAAAGTGGTTAATCGATTAGCAACACAAAAATTAGCAAATTTACACTGGTTAGTCGATTAGCCGGATTTTAACTGTAATTCGTTAATCGATTAACCCTGTTCCAGTAGCAGAAAATCAAGTTTTAAAAGCACTTTTCAGCAACAAAACACTTATCCAATCATCCAAATGATCAACCAAACAATTATGCATGAAAATTACATTGAATCACAACAAGTAAACACCAATTGCATCAACAAATCATGATCATCAATAATCAAATTCAAGAAAATGGATCAAAATGCAACCAAAACCAAGGATTTACATTGCATAAGTTGAAATTAAGCTAAATCAAGTATAGATATGAAATTACCAACCTACAAAGTTGATGTTTGCTTTGGTAAGTGTTGCGACTAAAATGGACATATCTAACACAAGAAATCCAAGATCCAAGCAATGTGATGAACTTGCTTCAAAGCTCCTTCAAGAATGGCTTCCAAAAATTTGAATCTAGATCTAAATAAGCTTCAAATGCAGAGTTGAATCAAGAATGATGAAGTGATGGAGATTTAGCTCAAGAAATCACAAATTGTAACGCACAATTTGTGAATTTATGGATATGGAGCTTTGATGAAAGGTTGAAGATGAAGGTTGAGAATGAAAAAATGAGAGATAATTGAGAGAAAATTCTGAAATTGAGATGAAAATGAGGGTGAATGAGTGTGGTTTGGAGTAAATTTGATTAAATAACCCCTAGGTTAGGAATATAAATATGGTTTGGAATGTGGATTAGTGTGAGGAATGGAAATTAGGAGTGGAATTAGGAATGAAGTGTTTGAACTTTAGAGGGAAATGGTGAAAATGAATCAATTCTAGATCCTTCCAATGATGCACATGTGAAATCAAATGGTAGAAATTGGTATAAATTCTGCAGTGCTGAAAATTCAAATATTTGGACAAATTGCGCCTTGGTTAACCGATTAACCATTTGCTAGTGCAAATGTGTTAATCGATTAACACAGGAAAAACTTGAATTGTGGCGCCTTTGTGAGGGAATCTTGCATAATCATCCATTGCCACCTGTTTTGAGCCACGTTAAGCCTCTAAAACTTGCCTTTTGATATTGTAACTATGAAAATGCCTGAAA